TCCCTGGCCCTCTTATTTAGGACCATGATTCTCTGCCCCATCAACAAAGGTTCCCCCTTAACTTTACGGGTGATGCACCCAGCTGTCAACTGTCCCCAAAAATCCATCTCCCCGGCCCAGCATGATGTCAATGGGCAATTTTGCATGACAGCTAGACAATTAAACAATACGGGGTATAGCCTGTAGAAGGGTGAGGGGTGTTATTGTAGGCCTGTACCAATTCTGTCACATTATGGTCCCAATCCTCTTTCTGATCATCCTTTAAAGTGCCCAGCATACTCAACAGTGTCCGATTAAAACTTTCACATTGTCCATTTCCTGCTGGGTTAATAGGGAGTCGTATGAGACTTACTGATATTATACAAGGAGCATAGCTCTTTAATGACCCTTGATTCAAAATTTGGGCCCTGGTCAGAGTGCAACTGATCAAGCCCCCAAATGACTGTATAAAGTGTTTCCACAACACCCTTGCAGTAATCACAGCAGTCTGGTCCGCAGTGGGCACTGCAACAGCATAACAAGTGAAGTGGTCCATCATAACTAAGATATTACACATCCCGCTGCGTGCAGTCTCCAGGGACAAAAAAAATCAACAGAAACTATCTGAAGAGGGTATTCTGATTGTATAGATACAAGAGGGTCACTCACTTTATTTGCAGGAGTCTTGTGCAGGTTGCATCGAACACACTGAAGGTACCACTTCTCCACTCCTCGTACCAGCCCCGGCCAAAAGAAACGTTGACGGGCCAAACCCAGAGTCTTTTCCACCCCCAGGTGTCCTGTGTGGTCATGCACCCATTCCAGGACTTGCGACTGTAGACACTGTGGCACCACTTTGCTTCCATTTATCAAATGTCTTTGGATCACATACCTCCCTGCACAGCAGTCCCTGATCCACACAGAGGCGGGCCCACTGTCACAACAACACTTGAGTAGACCGATCTTCCGCTGCTCTCTCTCTCGGAAAGGGCCCTCTCTCTCGGTCCATATAGATCCACAATCGTGATACCGCTGGATCAGTCCGCTGTGCCCTCCTCCACTCGGCCAACAGACTGGGACCAACTCGGTCTCCTTGATCTATATGTACCACTGTCTCAAACTTGTGACACTCCTACAGGTCCTCAGTGACTGGAACAAAGGCATGGACACAGGCCCGGACGACTTCAGGTGCAACATATCCAATCTCACCACATGGGACTGCTCACTCCTCTGTGGGCCCGGCCGAAGTCTCACTCACAGGCCACCTTGAGAGGGCATCAGCATTTCCATTTGTTCGCCCTGGTCTATAACGCACCTCAAACTGGAATCCCGCAAGCTGGGCCACCCATTGTTGCTCCACTGCACCCAGATTTGCTGTATTCAGATGAGCCAAAGGATTGTTATCTGTGAAAACAGTAAAGGGAGACACAGCAATATATGCCCTAAACTTTTCCACTACAGCCCATTTTAAGGCCAGAAGTTCCAGTTTGAATGAGCTGTAATTTTTATCATTCCTTTCCATTGGTCGGAGACTTCTACTTGCGTAGGAAATGACTCTCTCCTTCCCCTCTTGGACCTGGGCCAATACTGCTCCCAACCCTGTCTGGCTAGCATCAGTGTACAACAAAAATGGCAATTCAAAATCAGCATATGCCAATATGGGTGCTTGTAGGAGACTCTCCTTCAGTTTCTTAAAAGCAATGTCCTGTGCCATTCCCCATGCCCACCCATCTATTTTTCCTATGGCTGGTCGAGTACGTCGCTTTGATGTCCCCCACAACATTGAGTTCAATGGTGCTGCGATCTGGGCAAAGTCTTTTATAAAACGTCTATAATACCCTGCTAGGCCCAAAAAAAGCACGCAACTGAGTAATATTTTGATGGGTTACCCAGGCCTCCACTGCCCGTAACTTCTCTGGGTCTGGTGACACCCCTCCTTCTGCAATCACATGGCCCAAATAATGAACTTGACTCTGGAAAAGGGAACACTTACTGAGTTTGACCTTTAAGCCAAAGTCCCCCAGACGACTGAAGACCAAATCTAGATGGGCAGTGTGGGCCTCAAAGGAGGGGGAAAAAAACTATGAAATCATCCAAATAGAGCAATAATGTTTAAAAATTGATCCCCCAGGCAACTCTCGACCAGTCTCTGAAAAGTTCCTGGGGCATTGCATAACCCCATCGGCATCCGATTAAATTCATATAGCCCCATCGGTGTCACAAAAGCAGTCTTCTCTTTGTCAGCTGGGTGCACCCCCACCTGCCAATACCCATGTGCTAGATCTAATGTTGAAAACACTCTAGATTTTTTCAGTGAAGCCAGTGACTCCTCAATTCTAGGCAAAGGGTATGAATCTTTATGAGTAACACTGTTCAGCCGCCTGTAGTCTACGCAAAAACGAAGGGTGCCGTCCTTCTTTCTGACAAGCACCACAGGTGCTGCCCAAGGACTATAACTCTCCTTAATACCATTTTCAAGCATGTTATTTAAAATTCCCCTTACTTCTTGATACAATTTTGGTGGAATCCTATTATAACAATCTCTAATTGGGGCTGCATCACCTGTTGGTATTACATGTAAAACCCTATCAGTATGCCCATAATCCTCATCATGTTCCGAGAAAACCTTCTGATGCTTGGATAACAATTCAGAGATAATTTCTTGTTGTTTGGAGCTAAATTGCAGTGGATCTAAAGAAACGGCCACAGGCCAGGGCAAGTGTTCTTGTCTTACATCCTGCACACTATTTTGTCTCACCCCCACCTCCACAGTCTCATTATCCAATGGTCTTAATTCTGCGTTTCCCTGCACCCTTGGACAACTCAACATCAGAAATCTGACCTAACCGACAACGCTGAAAAAGCATCACCGGAACTGGAGAAAACTGCACTCAATGATCGGGCTACCAATAACTGGCCCGGCAATACATCATCTTGACATGATTCTACCAAGCCCACATAATCCTTTCTATCAGGCCGAACACATGCGCATGCCTCAATCACCACCTCTGACTGTGCTGGTATTATTTTTCATTTTCCCTGAGGCCAGTAAATAGTGCTTATCTGTCCTGACTCATCAACAAAGTTTAACAAGTCTTCACACACATAAAACATTTGGTTCCACACCTTGACTTGTACTTCACTTTCTACCCCTAAACCACCATCTCCAGACTGTGTCATTACAATTTTCCCACACTCTTTAATTACGTTCATTCCAATCAATCCTGGATAGGAGGACCCATTCGAGTCTCTGACAATAAGCACTCCCCTTTTTGGTATTACTTTGCCGCATATAATTAAATCCACCAGAATATACCCAATATATGGAATAACTAATCCATTCGTAGCTACCAAATTAAACCTTTGAATAGGTGGATACACTGTTGGCCCCCCGGTCTCAAAATATTTCTTAAAATAACTTTCTGTCAATGTAGTCACTTGTGAGCCTGTATCAATCAAACAAGGTGCTTTAACCCCTTGTATCACCACATCCACCACTGGACATTGTCCTACTAAATGATCTTTCTTTACTGACTGGCCTCTACCTAACATACCCATTGTTTGGGCCTGCACAGTGGGTTCTACAAGTTTAAAGGCCCTTGAGCGCCTTCCACCCACCTACAACGTCTTTCAATATGCCCAACTTGTTTACAGCGCCGACAGATAGGTCTACCCTGATGGTCAAATTGGTCTGAACTTTTTCGTCCTCCCCTGGACTCATACCCAAGTCTTGCACTTTCACTGTTAGGCAATAAATTCTGTACTCCTTCATGAACTTCGTTAATCATTCCAGCCACCATTTCCTTTATTTCTCCTTTTAACTGCAAGAAAACCTCCTGTTTAATTTCCTCAACCAATTTTACTTTATCTGGGGTTGGTTTTAACTGTACTGTTGCAGCTACGGCCTGCCGCACCTCCCCAAACTCATCTGCTCGTAGAATGGCTTCCTGTTTGACCTCTACAAAAGAACTGTCTAGTGCTGCTCTAACCATACCCCGAAGTTCCCTACGCAATCCTACATCCAAAAGTCCTAAAATAAATTGATCCCTTAAGATGTTACCCCTAATGGTTCCATCCCCCCTATTTTCCAACCGATTACTCAATTCCTGAAGTGCCAGAGCATACTGTCTAACGTTCTCATCCGTCCTTTGCTTACGGATAAAGAACTGGGAACGAAGGGTTGCAAAGGGAGCCATGTCTCCATAAATACCTTTCAAAAACGTCAATATCTTTTCCTATTGTTGCACGCTGTGCTGCTGGCAAAGCTAACACTTCCCTCTTTGCTTCTCCATCCAGATTACTTACTAAAGCTGAAACTTTCTGTGCCTCAGAAAAAGGATATATATTAAACATCTATGTCTGCGTATCATACCAGTCCTTAAAGTTGTTTGCCTGAGTCCCCTGTTCTCCATTTAACTTTTGACACCATGGTGTTCTCATCATAAAAGGAAACATAACCATGTTTGCGTTTGTTGCTTGACTCTGAGATATGTTAGGAGCACTATCTGTTCCCTGCTGCTGCTCACTAGATGTAGATGGTAACTGCGCGGATTGTGTAGTTGACATCTTCCCTGCTATTGCCCAATGTCCAGACTGCCAAACTACACCAAGTTGTAACACTCGAATAATAATCAAAGGAGTAAAAGGAAACCAAAACAGGTTCCTGCCTGGACAAGATAAATGATTTGGCCATCAATAGCCAAGGAGACTCAAGCACACAACCTTAATAAATACAAATATAGCTTTTATTCTTATACAATACAAATCATATTAGAACCTCAAAAGGGCAAAGCAGCAGGTTAAGATGGGTGTCACATATAGTTAATAGTGCATTTGATCAATCAAACGTTACCTAGCATAAGTAAGCAGTCAACGAGCAGAAAAGTATTCAGCAAAGGGCTTAAACACCTTAAAATAAAGTAATGTGCTGCCAATTATACGCAATTTCATTACACAGCAAACACCAAAGGTACAAAAATCCATAAGTGCATCAAATGGGTTGCTGGCCTTCTTACCCGCTACTGGACATGGGGTACAGCGTTCGGGAAAACAACCGGCGGCCGCCAAACTTTAATTAGGGAAACCCAAAGCTACAAACTATCCCTCCCAATCGCGTCGCACACGTTACGGAGAAACATCCATCCCACGTCCCGGCACGGTAGTCTCGGCAAGAAGCTCAGCAACACTCACACACCAAATCCCCCCTCAACAACAGACCTCATACCTTTATTGATTCCATTAGAAATGCAGCACAGGTGTTGATGTTTGTCTTTTTCCCCTAATGAGACATAAAGCGGATAATACAGACGCAACCACTGTCGCCCCTCCCCTTGCCTAAAATATGGGCTGCAGCTCTCCCTAATTACATTTTGCTCTAACAGTTGTTTAATATGAGCCTTAACCTCCTCATATTGACTAGGTGGCAGTCTCCTATACCTTTGACAATCTGGAACATCATCTAACAATGGAATTTGATGTTCAATCAAATCTGTATACCCCAGATCCCCCTCTCTTTCTGCAAAAACAGAGGCATATTGGTCCAACAACTTCCTAACCTTGCCTTCCTGTTCCTCATTCAACTGGGGGAACTTCAAGATCCCAACTTCATGAGCCACCATTACCCCTGTCTGAGCAGCATTGCATTGTTCAATATACACTGTACAATTTTGTTCTTCCTGCATAGGTGTAAATTTTAGATCTGGATCCCCATCACTAATTACCACCTCAACCCTGTGAATAGAAGCCAGCCGAACGTGTGGATTCAGAATAGCATCACTAGTACCCACATTCATTATTGGGACCAATAATTGTCCTTTCTCTGGCAATACTATTGATCCTACAAAATCCTTATTTGTCCGGGAGAGCAGAAGGAGTTCGTCTGTTTTGTTGGGTAAAGAGCGGAGGTTCGCCAGATGGATGCTCGGCAACGGCGTTCTGAATCCGCGCTGCCTGAGCTTCACGAGCGTGCCGGCTCACTTCCCCCGTCTGCGCGTCCTGAAGCGCTTGATCAGCGCCACAGCTCCCCCGACTACAATGTCCAGCAAAACATCAGAATAGTCGAAAACCGGTGAAATATCGGGTGGTGTGTACTTCCGAATGTCCAGCAATTCGTCTCTGGTGAAACTGATTGCAGGGATATAACTAAAGACAGGACAAACTAACAAAAACATAGAAACAACTGCGGAGCACGCCACGGAGGCAGCCATCAGCGTCGGCGCCATAAGGGAGAATCATGTGAATATGTGAATAAAAGCCTAAATTAAAATCTGTTTATCATATAAAGTGATCGTATCTTGGATTAAACTTGGACTAGACTTGGATTAAACTGCTAGATTCATATGGATTTGTTTTATAACACCTTCATGACATGTTGTCATATGATTGTCACTCTGCACTGCAAACTCAAGTCTTGTGTGTTCTGTTTTGAGTCAAATTTTGTTTTCTTCACAGATTTACCCAGATCTACACTGACTGTGACTCCAGACAGTCCTGTGTTCACTGGAGAGACAGTCACTCTGAAGTGTGTGATAAAGCCTGTTCACAGTAACTGGAGATATGAGTGGTATGAAGGCAGAGACAGTGTAATGTTACAGACGTCTAAGCGCTACTCTGTAAACAGAGACACTCTCACTATCAGACGAGTAATTACATCTGATCAGGGTCAGTACACGTGTAGAGGACAGAGAGATAAAAGACCAAAATCATCACAATCAAGCTCTGCTGTTTCTCTCTCTGTGACGGGTGAGTTGAATATCACTGCCCTCCTAAACTCACTTCACTACGTCATGGTCAATATGAATGTCACACTTTCTTTTGAGCATTTAATCTCACTATTCATTTGTAGTAACCTAAATGTCATGACACAGAGACAAATGATGAAATGCAGAAACAAAACATAAGAGCTACTGGTAAAAAAAGCTGGTTATGAATGGTAGATCTGATATGACAATGTTTGTTTTTTGGGGTAAACTCACTTTACTACATGTCATGGTCAATATGAATGTCACACTTTCTTTTGAGCATTTAATTCCATTTAATCTCACTTTTAATTTGTAGTAACCTAAATCTCATGACACAGAGACAAATGATGAATTGCAGAAAGAAAACATTAGAGCTACTGGTAAAAAAAAAAAAAAGCTGGTTATGGATACTAGATCTGATATGACAGTGTTTGTGTTTTTTTTTTTTTTTTCACTGTCAGCCTTCACAAGCTTTAACTTGTACACAGAACAACTCACAGGGAAGCACTGCTGCAGTGAAATAATTATCACTGCCAGAACATTATACGTAACCAGAAACAGATGTTATAACTCAGTGTAAGGAGGGTGTTTCAGAGTAGAGGGAGAGAATAGGATCATTTATTAACAACACAATCAAAAGTAAATCCAGACAACAAAGACGAAGGCAAAAACAGAATAAAGCCAGACAAAGTGTACACTAAAAATGCTGGGTTGTTCCAACCCAATTTTGGGTCAAATATGGACTAACCCAACTGTTGGGTTCAAAAGTTAAATCATGTGAATATGTGAATAAAAGCCTAAATTAAAATCTGTTTATCATATAAAGTGATCGTATCTTGGATTAAACTTGGACTAGACTTGGATTAAACTGCTAGATTCATATGGATTTGTTTTATAACACCTTCATGACATGTTGTCATATGATTGTCACTCTGCACTGCAAACTCAAGTCTTGTGTGTTCTGTTTTGAGTCAAATTTTGTTTTCTTCACAGATTTACCCAGATCTACACTGACTGTGACTCCAGACAGTCCTGTGTTCACTGGAGAGACAGTCACTCTGAAGTGTGTGATAAAGCCTGTTCACAGTAACTGGAGATATGAGTGGTATGAAGGCAGAGACAGTGTAATGTTACAGACGTCTAAGCGCTACTCTGTAAACAGAGACACTCTCACTATCAGACGAGTAATTACATCTGATCAGGGTCAGTACACGTGTAGAGGACAGAGAGATAAAAGACCAAAATCATCACAATCAAGCTCTGCTGTTTCTCTCTCTGTGACGGGTGAGTTGAATATCACTGCCCTCCTAAACTCACTTCACTACGTCATGGTCAATATGAATGTCACACTTTCTTTTGAGCATTTAATCTCACTATTCATTTGTAGTAACCTAAATGTCATGACACAGAGACAAATGATGAAATGCAGAAACAAAACATTAGAGCTACTGGTAAAAAAAAAAAAAAAGCTGGTTATGGATGCTAGATCTGATATGACAGTGTTTGTGTTTTTTGTTTTTTTTCACTGTCCGCCTTCACAAGCTTTAACTTGTACACAGAACAACTCACAGGGAAGCACTGCTGCAGTGAAATAATTATCACTGCCAGAACATTATACGTAACCAGAAACAGATGTTATAACTCAGTGTAAGGAGGGTGTTTCAGAGTAGAGGGAGAGAATAGGATCATTTATTAACAACACAATCAAAAGTAAATCCAGACAACAAAGACGAAGGCAAAAACAGAATAAAGCCAGACAAAGTGTACACTAAAAATGCTGGGTTGTTCCAACCCAATTTTGGGTCAAATATGGACTAACCCAACTGTTGGGTTCAAAAGTTAATTTAAAAATGTAACTAAAATTTAACCCAACAGTTGGGTTAGTCCATATTTGACCCAAAATTGGGTTGAAACAACCCAGCATTTTTAGAGTGTAAAGAAGGCAAGACTGCACTGAAAACAACACAGACAAGACATTCATAAAGGACACCAGACAAAAAACAAGGCAAAAGACTGGAGTTTAAACACACTGCATTACAAGAGGCTGATTAATCCTCATCGAAACAGACGAAAGTAACTGTGGTAACAAACAAGGCACATAGCAAACAGGAACTAGACATAGGAAGTGAAGAGAGGCAAGGAACCAAATATACTTTAACACAAAAGTCTTTAAACACAAAACAGAGGAACACAAGACAGCAATATAACACTCCGTCACTGAAAGTTCAGACTGTCCAGGTGTTTCACAGCAGATCATCTTTAGTGAGTATGATACAGAGACAAATAAAGCTGTAAAAAAGTGGAACATTTCTCAGTGATTATTAATCATTATGGCAGTTACACTCAAAGTTTTTTTTTTTTAGTTATTTTATCTCTTAATCATATGTTCCCTTTCATGGGAACTTTGAACTGCGTCCTCTAGGGGTCGCTATGGGGAACACATCGTTGTGACCCGTGTCTGAAGCATACATTGAAAAAACACCAACTCGTTGGCTGGCGACAGCCATGACGTCACTA